GATTTCCCTACTTCCCAACAGGCTCTGTAACCCTGCAGTAAGAGCTTGCTGTGCTTCATGTCTCATTTAAATACAGAATCCTTACTTCCCTGGTCTTCACTATTATCAAAATAAAACTAAATTTTATCTTCATAATTTTAATTTTTAGTTTTCTTTTTCTTTTCTTTTTTTTTTTTTTTAAAGGTTTTTGCTATGGAGTGCATGTGCTTGCCAGAGAGAAAGAGACAGTGAGAGGGAAAGTGAGAAATCATCCCTTCCCCCCCACGCACCCCCGGGAGAGATGACCATGCCACAATCCTTTTTCCTCCATTCTTTTAATTTTGTTTAATAATTATTTTATTTAACTTTTTTTTTGGGGGGGGGGGGGTTTTTGGTATAGGGGGTGCTTGCACCGCCAAAACGATAGCGTATGTGCTCGCCAGAAAGATAGAGACAGAGAAACAGAATGCAAGAAATCACTCCCCAGGGGAAATGGCCATGCCACAATCCATTCTCCTCTTGGGATCTTGGGCATGTACACACATGCACCCAATGTGAGTTCAAGCCACCGGGTCCGGAACTTGAACTGCGGTCAACTACGTGGGACATAGCCATTATACCAACTGTTGGTCCTTATTTTACTTAACTTTATTTATTTATCCATTTGTTTATTTCAATTTGATGAGAGAGGGAGAGAGAGAGAAAGAAAGAGAGAAAAAGTAAGAAAGCAAACCACCAGGTCCAGGACTCAAACCTCAGTCGATCATGTGGGAATCCAGCGCCTTTAACTACCACGCCATCTGCCGGCCCCTCCTCCATTCTCCTCTTGGAATTTTGGGTACACATTCACATGCACCTGATGTGATGTTCAAGTTGCCAAGTCTGGGACTTGAACTGTGGCCGATACTGTGGGTGTCCAGAGCCTTAACCACTACACATCTGCTGACCCCAATTTTTCATTTTCTTAAAAAAATCTTGTAAAATTAATTGCTGTTAATGGTCTTTAATAATAATCTTCCGTACATAAGAGATTTCATTCTTTGGAAGGGCCAATTGATGTTCCATGACATCGACCTATACCACCAATGACTTAACTTAAAAGTCTCTACTCTTGTTTTCCTTGTTTTTCAGGTCGACCAATATCTCTACCACATGCGCCTCTCTGATGAGACTCTTCTGGAGATCTCTAAGCGGTTCCGCAAGGAGATGGAGAAAGGACTTGGGGCCACCACCCACCCCACTGCGTCAGTGAAAATGCTGCCCACGTTCGTACGGTCTACTCCAGACGGGACAGGTATTGAACTAGGGGGTGGCTCTGAGTGCTCCACTCCTGGGGGCGATTTAGTTGACTTTGCTCCGGGACCCAAAGAACTAGTTGTTAGTGAAGCTTTCTTGGTTCCAAGCCTTAGAACCAACCCTGGCGAATGGAAGCATGCCAGGAGTTGATGGAGGCTGTGGGATGGGATAGACAGAAGCTTGGCAGTCAGGGTAGAAGCACCTCTTTGTTGGCTATACCAGCACACTGCTGTCAGACATTTGCTTTTCATCCATGTGAGAAAGGCTCACTCTGAAATTTTATAGTCCCTCTGAGATGTGCTGCATTGTCACAGTGATGGCAAGGCACTACAGCACACCTACCTGGAGATGTCACAGCCATAGGCCATAGCAGTCACTCGGTGGCCCACCTAGCCACATCCTAACTGGCACATTCCACAGACCAGAGCTGGAGAAACTGTGTAGTACAGATCATTGTAGGTTGTTTCTTGAACCTCATGAAAAAGCAGCAGGAGTCCAAATGAACTTGGGGAAAATGTGAAGAGCCATAGTGCATGTCAAGGTATTGAAGGCTTTCAATTCTGTACTAAGAGCCTGTTGTGTTTTGCGTAACCCCTCCATTGAGATATGGAATGCTTATTTTGGGGTGCGCCATGCAGCAAGTGATTTAATCCTATGGGAGGTAAGGGTCATGATGGAGATTAAAGTTGGAAAGGCAGGTTAGGACCAGATCACAGAAGGCCTTGATGGGAGCCTGAGTGCTTAGTCTTCCTTCAGTAGGCATTGGGAGCAAGGCTGTCTTGGCATCAGCAGTAATCTTTGTGGAGTGGAGGGGGGTGATGGGAGGCTGGCCGAGCCTAAGACATGGCCTTGGTGGGCTGTGGTGGCCAGGAGAGAGTTCAAAGGTGAGGCCAGGATGTTGAGCCCAGCTGCCTGGGGTGGCAACATCCCCAGAGAAGAGTGTGAACTCAGTCGTCAGAGCTTTGACACAGCTTGTTTCATTTAACCCTCACAATAATCCTGTATGTTAAATATGAGGCCCATGAGGAGTGTGAGTGTGAAGTAACTATTCACATCTAGAGGCAAGAGAAAGAGCCCAGGGGCAGCTACCAGGGTAGGAAAAGACTAGGAAGCACAGAGCCTGAAACTCGAGGAAGGAAAGAGCTCCAAGAAGCCACAGGTCCCTGGAGGGGAATTTGCAGAGGAGTCCTAGAGCTGTGAGAAGGCATGCTTCATGCTTGTTTGTGTACCACATCCCCTACTGTTTCTATCACATTTGTGTCCTTGAGGTTCACCTCCCTGAGAGTCTCTAGGGACCTGGTTTATCTAACAAGACTTTGTACAGTTCCTAAAATAAGTCTTGTGTATTTGCTGAAGCCTTGGGACCTAGCCTGGAGCCAGTGTGTGGGGTGTGACCTTGTTCATAGTTATTCTCTGATGCCTTTCAAAAGCCGCTTGAAGGGCTGGATGACAACACTGGGGTAAAATGTGATGTTCTGCAAGATTGACCCACATGGGAAGGTTGTGGGTTTGTGTCCAGAGACCTCCCTGAGTACTCTGGGCGTATGTGTGCTCATGATCCAGTCTGGCTGAAGTGGTGGGTGGCTCATGGTATCAAGACCCTGTTAGGGGTGCTCTCTCTCCTCTCTCTCTAACTGATGGAATAAATAAACAAATCTTTAAAGAAATCCCCTTAGAGTGAGGGGTCTCTGTGAATTATCCCACCTATGCCATCTAGACTGGCATGTTACTACCACTCCCTCTGGCTGCAAACCAGACCCGTTTCTATTGTTTCTATTTGACCTTCTGATAAATTTGCTAGCTCTTGAAGGCCAGGACCTTGTCTTTACTTTACCCAACAGTGGCATGAGTAAGTGTCCTAAATATTTTCCAAATACATATTACAGGCTAAGGATTATTCAGAGCACCCCTGCTTATGAAGTCATTTACTTTCCACAAGACCCTGTGAGATAGACAGAAATGCTATCCACATGTTTTAGATGAGGAATTTGAAGCTTGGATGGTCAAATAACCTGTCCAAGATCACACAGCTAATGTGAGGCTGAGTCAGAAATCTGACTCGTATATGCCAGAGTTCGGGCCGAAGACTATATCTGACGTGTCGTGTGCATGTGCGCTCAACACCAAGGCACTCGGCACATACTCCAATTAGAATTTTATGAAATGGGGTTGGGCCTGGTTACCCGTATTCTGAAGAAGTGCATTGGGGAGAATTAATTATGGGACAAACGTCAACCTGCCATTTGAAAACTGCTGCCTTAAATGATTCTCAGCCCTGACTTCTTATAGACTGAGTGTATTTGTAAGATGGACTACTTCTAGCCAGGGGTGACATGTGTAATTTCAGGGCAGTGTGGATTAAGGAACGAAAACCAGAATTTCGGTTTGGATGGGTTTGAATTTCAGCTGAGTGCTTCAGAGGAATTTATTAATACTGTGACCCTCCATTTCCTCTTTAATCAAAAGAGGAAACATTGTGGGGTTGGTTCTCTCAGAATTAAGGGCCAAGCAGATATGTGACCTTCCCCCGTGGGCTACCAACTAGCATTCCTGTTGCCGTAGTAGCCGTAGCCCAGCGCTGTAAGAGGCGTGCTCTGCTCCGGTTGTACTGAGAGAGGGTGTGTGGGCCTCTCAGGTCCTTTCTTCTGGAGGAGACTGGCCGGAAAGAAGCAGTTAGGAGGAGTCCTCTTTATCACCAGAGGCTCTGCATTTTGGAGGGAGGACATGTCAGAATCTTTTGTGCTGGCCACAGCTATCTTACTGTAATGAAAGTTCTGGCAGAAAATGGACGAGAGACTTCAGTAAGTTTCAGATCATGCATTTATGATGGAGGCTTCCCTGGTGCTGTAAAGAAATGGACCTCCAAGCTGTGGTTGATGAGTTCTCTGAGAAGGAGGGGGATGATGTCAGCAGCCACCAAGCCTTGTGGGGGTGAGATGGTCAAGGCCAGTTCCAAAGAAGCTGCACTTCCTAGAGTCTATGGACTCTGTGTGTGAAGAAATGTCTTTGGCATGGATAAAAATAGACTAGATAGAAGAATATCTTGATGACTGAATTTGGTGATATCCGGGGTATTAGTACACCAGTCCATCCTTCCACACATCGGTCCATCTTGGGTTTCATTTGATGTGTTGCACAGGACATCGCAGAAATCAGTTCATTTCAATCATAAAACTTTAGCACACATATTAACTAGCATTCCGTATTTCCTTTTTATTTTGATGTAAAATGTGAACATGACAAAATGACAAAGATTAAGTATATCATTTGATGAGTTAACAAATGTGTGTGTCCTGACTTTTCCGACAACCCAAGATAATACCTATTGAATATAACCCCCATGAAGATGAAAAGAACATTATCATTACCCAGAAAGTTCCCTCTTGCCCCCTCCTATCAATCCCTGTCCCCAACTCCCTAGAGGGAATCACAATCTCATGTTTTTCACATTTATTAGTTTTGCTTGCTCAGGGACTTCAAGTAAGTAGACTCATACAGTATTTGCACTTTTTGTGCACGATTTCTTTTACTCCTCACGATGTGAGATAAATCCATGTCGTATCCATTGATCGTTCTCTGCTTTGAGTTGCTGGTTCCATGGTATCATTGGAATCATATATGACATGAATATTGAGGGACACCTGGGCAGATTCCAGTTGGGCTATTATGAGTGAAGCTGCTGTAGACATTCTTGCACAAGACTTTTGTGGACACATGTTTTTATTTTCTTGGGTAAACAACTAGGGGTGAAATTACTGGGTTGTAGAGGTTGGTGTGTGTTCAATGATTCAGGAACTGTTAGATCTTTTTCTCCACGTGGTTACACTCTTACCCAGAATGTATAAGAACTCTCTGTACCCCATGTCCTCATCAGTATCATCAGTATTTGCTTTCTGGTTTTTTTTTTTTTTTTTTTTTTTGTAGTAAAGAGTTGAGTGAAAAAAGTTTTCATTCGGTTGCCAGAAATCACACCATCCTGACCTCTGTGGAGGTAGCCCAAATCTATGTCGGCTCTGCACCTGAGTGTAGTACCAGCCCTAACCACTGTTCTGTCAGGGCTTCTCCCCAGCACACATCACAAGGGTCTGGCTTTCAGAGGAAAGTTCCACCTTAAAGGAAATGCGGGAATAATTGACACCATTTAATGAGCATCTACAATGTCTCTTCCAGACTGTTTACAATGTCCATTTTATTCTCTATAAAAATTTTACAAGAGAGACGTTCCCACTTAAAAATAAGGCTAAAAATGGGTTGATGATTGTCAAGGTCACTTGTGGTCACTTGGTGACAGAGTTGGGACTTAAGTATAGGTAGCCCTGGCTCCAGGGCTGTAAGACTCACAGTTTACATTGCCTCATGTTGCTGAACAAGAGTGTCTAGGACAAATAGGGTTATTATCTTTAAATAGATCACAAGTACACGTTGGCTTTGTATCATTAAAATAAGAAGCTCAAGTACAAACCAACAGAAAATGTACAAGTGTACCATGCCCCCATTTTAATTTGGGAATGAGGTGTCTTTGTGGTGTCATTGCCCTTGTTATTTGGGGAGATTGTTCAGATGTAATTATGCTTTTGTTTGTTTGTTTAATTTAGTTTGTTTAATTTTTTTTTTTTTGGAGAGGTTTTTGCTATAGGGCACATGCGCTCGCCAGACAGACAGAGAGAGACAGAGAGACAGAAAGCAAGAAATCACCCCCCAGAGAGGATGGCCATGCCGCAATCCCTTCTCCTCCATTCTCCTCTCGGGATCTTGGGCACGCACACACATGCGCCCGGCGTGAGTTTTAAGCCACTGGGTCCGAGACTCGAACTACGTTGGAGTCCAGCGGTCGAACTACGTGGGAGTCCAGCGACATAGCCATTATGCTAACTGCTGGTCCCAGTTTGTTTAACTTTTTTTGCTATGGAGTGTGCACTCATCAGAGAGAGACTGAGAGAGGGAAAGTTAGAAATCACCCTCCAGGGGTATAACCAATCCCTTCTCCTCCAGTCACCT